ATTGCTCTATGTAGATGACATAGAACAGTGTTGTTCCACCTATGTACACGACATATTCCAAAACTGTCAGATTAGTACTTCTCTTCCAACCAGACCCACTTTCTAATGCCCAAATAGGACAGAACTGTGATCTTTGGACTCTTCTGCAGACGGGATAGACATATGGTCCTCAACTTCCTATGTAGACAATACAAGATAGCGGTCATCAAACTTGGTTGGATGTTCACATTACTTATGGAATTTTTAAGAGTTCTAATGCTTCAATTCCACCTTCAAAGATGCTGATATATCAAAGGAAAATACATAGATTTTTTTTAAAATTTCAAGCCTTCCTTAAAGTTTTTGTAAGAATGAGAATATTACTGTTTGAGAAGATGAAAGTAACTGTAGTGACCTAGGAACCGTCTAAAAGATTTTGAATTTTAATAAATCTAAGACTTATTTGTTTTGTTGCCATTTTTCTCTATATGTGAGTATCTAAGTGCTGCAAATTATTTTAGCTAGTGGAAGGATGTTGTGGTTTGAGATCTTTTTAAATGAAATTTCACTGTAGTAAATCGATACACTATATTAAACTATACCAGTACAGGCATCTATAAAAAAAATATATTTCTAGATGGTAAGTGTAATCTATCAGCGGTCAAATTATTACTGTTCCTTATTAGTTTTAAAAATGTAGGTCCGATTTATTTCAGTTATGAGTATGGTCTCTAGCTGCATCCATTTCATTTTCATTGTTTTTGCTCTGTTTTGTTTTTGTCTATGTTGTTGGTATTTTGCTATTGTTCTTTTTTATTATTGTCTTTAAAATTAAAAAATGTGCACACTTTTGCAATTCTTTCATTTTCAGCAGGGCTGATGTCTTTGCCTTGAGCAGAGTGACTTGTTACAAAGAGGGGTTGAAGGATCATGTGTCTTGCCTTATAGTGTGATCCTCTGATAAACATCAACATTCTGAAAAGTGTCTGTTGATCCTGCGTACTGTACACATATATTTTGCCTTCTAAAGTGCTCTGAAAGCAGAGATTTCTAACTTTTTTCTATTGTAATTAATAGACTTCATATCGTAGTATTTTTTTTATATTTCCAGTGCTGAGAATTGAATGAAATGCCTCACCTAGCTAAGTGCTCTCTACTCAGCTATAGTGCCAACCTGGCTTGATATTTTTGGACCAGTTTCAGGTATACCCAAAAATTAAGAGGAAGAGGAAATTTTGCATCTTATAGTCCACCCTCTCAATTTTCCCTGTCACTAAAATCTTGTACTGGTGTGGTGTGTTTGCTATAATTTACATTATGTAGCATTATCACCCAGAGCCCACAGTTTACATCCGGAGGGTCCACTTCTGTTGTCGCATGTCCCATGAATTTGGACAAGTGTGTTAGGACATGTATCCACTGTTACTGTGTCATACAGAGTGGTTTCGCTGCTCTAAAAGTCCTCTCTTCTCTGCATGGTCATCCTATCCCCATCTTCTAACCATTGGGAGCTTTTATTCTCTACTATCTCCATAGTTTTGCCTTTTCCAAAATGTCATGTAGTTGGAGTCATACAATATCTACCCCTTTCAAGTTGGCCTACCACCTCTCCATGTTTCTTCATGGCTTGACAGTTCATTTTTTAGCACTGTGCATTACTCTAGTTATGGAGCTTACCAATTTGTTTATCCATTAGCCTTCTGAAGGATGTCTTTGTTGCTTCTGAATTCTGGTAATTATGAGTCAATACAAACCATTGTGTGCAGGATTTGTGAAAACATGAGTATTTACCCATTTGAGTAAAAACCAAGAAATGTGATGGCTTGATCACATGGTAAGAGTATATTTTACTTCGTGAAAACTGCTAAACATCTCCCATAGTGGCTGCACAATTTCAAATTCCCACCAGTAATGAATAAGGGTTCCAATTTCCCCAGATCTTTGCCAGCATTCGATGTTATCAGTGTTTTGGAATCTGATCATTTTAATAGACATGCAGTGTATCTTATTATTTTAAATTAAAATTTCTTATTGATATATGATATCCAATATTTACTATACTTTTATATCATCTGTATATCTTCTTTGGGGAAGTACCAATTCAGATATTTTGGCTACATTTCAAAAATTTTTTTTTCTTATTGTGGAATGTTAAGTGTGCTTTGCATATTTGTGTTACCAGTCCTATATCAGATGTGTCTTTTGCAAATATTTTCTTCCAGTCTGGAGCTTGTCTTCTCCAATTTGAAGGATAATTTTTCCAGATACAGAATTTTAGCTCGGTGGGTTTTTTCCCTTCTTGCAACCCTGGAAATATTGCACTGCACTTTCTTCTGCCTGTGTGGTTTTTGAAGAGAGGCCCAGTGTGACTGTGAGTGTCGCTCCTCTGCAGGTAAAGCGCTTTCTTTCACCGCGATGTTCCCTGAGCTCCTGGGTCTGTGCTTTGCTCTCTGGCATCAACTGTGAGAGCTTCTCAGCCATGAGTTTTGCAAATATTTCTCTTAATTTCTGTTTTTTTCCTATTACAACTTTTATTACTGTCCCATAATTCCTGGCTATCTGTTGTATCTTTTTCCTTCTTTTTCTCTCTGCAGTTCAGTTCTGGAAGCTTATTTTAACTTTTCTTCAGGTTCACAAGTTCTTTCCTCAGCCGTGTTCTACCTACTGATGGGCCCTCAAAGGCATTAATTATGTCTGCTACAGTTTTTAGTTTCTAACATTTCTATTAGTATCTTAGGATCTGCAACCCTCTGTTGACATTACATCTGTTCTTGAAGTTAATCCATCTTTTCCATTGCCACCCTTAGCATTTTAGTCATAATTGGATTTAGATTCCCAACCTGATAATTCTAGTATCTCTGCATGTTTGAGTCTAATTCAGACACAGCAATCTCTCATTCAAAAATTTTTTTTGCCTTTTAATGCACCAGGGCATTTTATTATTCTTGTTGAAAACCAGACATGATATACTGAGTAGAAAATACATATGAAGAGAACTTCAGTTTGAAGGTTTTCTCTCACTAGGAGCTAGTCTGTTCCCTGTTTGCTCTCGCTGTAGGTATCAGAGACTGGTATTTTACTTTTATATCCTTACCCGGGGTTCTTTTGTTTTCCTTAGAGATTACTTCGTAAATCAGGTTATGAGCCAATAAGGCTTTCTGAACTGTGTTTTGTATTATTACACAGGAGCACTATTGTGGTAGGAAAGAGTGGGAAGAGGTGAAATGTTCTACAATTCTAGAATTAGGTCTCATTCTCTCCCTTGTGCCCCTGTGCTGTTATCTTTAAGGGTTTTCTTTTAATTTAAAAGACAATAATAAAAAACAATAAAAATGGTACAGAATTTCCTATTTCTTGTTTCAAAATTTTGTCTGTTTGTTTTCCCAGACGTAGGTGTCTACCACCACCTATCTGAGTTAGACTGATAAAACCTGAACAGACTGTGTTCTAGTAAAATAGTTTCTTCAAAAGGCAGGCTCTTGAAGGTGAAAGGAATGCTCTAGCCTATCTCAAAATTATTACTTCCCTTTTTCTTGATCTTCACTGAGACGCTGGTTGAGCTCCTGCAGGTAAAACTCACAAATCTGTGAAGGGTCCCTGCGCCCTGGGCTTCCCAAGAGCGCATGCTGAGGTCAGCAGTTCTCCAATTACGTTTCAAGTTTCCCTCCTCTGCCGGGTGCTTGTTCCCACTGAGGTTCCTGCTTCTGGACTTCTTCTACCCTTGGGAGTTGTTGTTCTCTACGTCCAGCTGTCTCTCAGCCCAGATTTGAGGGCAGCAATTGATACTGTGACCTCACTTCTCTCAGAAGAGCTGCTGATTTTCAGAGTTTTTCTCTTTGTAAGGACAGGATTAAAAACCTTCAGGCTCCTTAAACCAGAAATCTTGTTTAAAAAAAAGAGAAAAATGGATATTTTTACAGTGTTTATCACTTGTAGGAATAAAAATGCTGAGAAATAATGATCACTTATCACTTTTCTATTCCATATGGGCAGCTGAGATTAACACACAAATCATACGTTCTCTGCCAGTGTTCAAAAGGCAGGAGCCACCTAGCTAGGAAGTGAACGAGGTGGAGCTTCATAAAAGAACTTTCAATTTAATTTTGACAGAAAAGTAGACAAAACTTTTGGAAAGAAAGTTCATTAAGTTTAATGCTTTGGATGACCAATTTAGGACTGGTGGAGGAAATCTCTCAGCTCATTTAATTAAATTTAGGCCTCAGTTTCCCCATCTGTAATCAAAGGGGAGGGAACATTGGGGTAGATCAGTGACCTGCACATGTGCACCTCAGAGCTGTGGATGGTGGCTGACCTCAGAGGCCCAGTGGACAGGAAGGAGGGTGGAGGTCTCCCTCTATACAGCCAGTTTCTGCAGTAAATTAAATCAGTAGCTTCAGCATATAGCTTCATTTGAACAGAGGAGTCTGTTTTTACAAAATTTTAGGACACTTTAGTTGGTCATTCAAATTTGCCCTTGGTTCTAATTTTTGAAAAATCCGTAGAAAACTATGAGGAAAAATCAGATTATTTGAAGAAGAGGAAGGGAAGCAAAATCTACTTTGACTTTTAAATCTGACTTCCCATTACATCATGTCCAAGGTCAGCTGAATCTGTGAATTTGTACATCCTTTTTCTCAATACTGTTTTCCACTTGCTTTTTTAATGACTTTTTTTTTCTTTACCAGGTTTTGTTCATCTGGAAGAAACAGAAAGTTCTTTCTGAGTCCTACCTTAGGAGGCTGTGGCTGACTCAGATAGCTGGGCCCAACATACCCCCAGAACAGAAGGCCCTCCACTGGCCACAGCCTCAGAGCTTTAGAACACTTAGATGCCACAGAAATACTAAAGGAACACACTTAGTAGAATTCTAACGCAGTCAAGTGAATATTATATAACTCACACAATACTGGCTCTACTTATAATAAATATGGAACATGGTTTAGAAAAGTTTACTATAAATATTTTATTAAAAATGAAATCGAACATGCTTATCAAAGAAAACAATTTTTACCAGAGGTACTTTATTCAAATGCATATAATCTTTTGTACCTGTAAACCTTGAAGAAAAGAAAAGGTACATACTCATTAATGAACATATCAGAGTTCATTGATATGGCTTCACTGAAGTATATTTCTCAGTTATGTGGGTAAATCAATGTTTGGAGAAATACAATGACTATCAGATGCATGTCATTGGAAAAGCAAAAATAACCATCAGCGTATGTGGATGAGATGTGATGCAGCAGGCGAAAAGTGAGAGTCCAGCACTTCCCTGTACACCCTCACGAGCCCTGAGAAAGCCCGTTGGCACAGACCAGCTTATTTCCCGTAGCTTCCTTACCTTAAAAAGGCAGGAAATTGTATTTGATTTCTAGCTTTCACCTGCTCTGTGATTATACGTGAGAACACGACCAACCTGAGAGTAGAGACCTAGTTTATTTTGACCCTCCCAATGTTTTGAACACACATAGTATTGTAATGACACAGTTAGAAGATAACTTCATTTTTTATTACACTTAAACTAGAGATTTAAACAACCTTAAAAAGCAATATATGTAATTATTTGTACAGCAATTTTCAGATCACAAAATCATGTTGGCTATTAGGTTTTGAGTTCCTTCTAAAAAGTAATCATGGCAGTGCCTACTAATATTCTCCCAAATATTAAAATTTTAAAATCATTGTTTTACGAAAATACAATATTAAAATTATGGAACTACCACTGTACATGTAGGTGTAGGTATAAGATGAAATTTTTTTATTTCATTTTTCAAATTTTCTCTTTTATACAAGAAATACCATATTAGCATATTTCCCTTTACTTATCAGAGACTGTCTCCTAGATACTGAAGACACTGAAAACATTTTAATAACAGACAAAGTGATTTTCCATTTTAATCCTTTTCCAGGAGAGCCAAGAATCGTTATTGCTTTAATGACAAGCCTCTTGACTCTGCTGTGAGGAGGGTTGGTGTTTTCGTGGTATCTTGTCCACTGGGAGGTGGTCACTGACACTATGGATCAGCTGGTGGCATCCGGAGTGGATTGCAATGCAGAACAAATGCAGGCTGAGCGCATGCCCTCCACAGGTCCAGCCAGCTCTGCTGCCACTAACAATTACAGAGGACAAGAGCACAGACCTCTGAGCAGTGGGGACGCTGACCCGAACATGGCAGCTCATTTGGACCACACTTATTCAATACAGAGCTGCACTGTAATTTCCCCTCTATTGTTATCGGTGAGCGTTTACACAGTCTCACCTTCATTATGTCCCCCGGCCGCCAGCACTGGCTGTTTGTCACCTCTATTGATTGCACTCAAACTGCAATTTACATGAATTGCTGGCAGCTCTTCTCAGAAAATCCTATGTCCCTCTGATGAGTTGGCGGCTGGTTTCTGAGGACCAGCAAATACCGAGTGTCCCACGAAAACAACATGACCTGAAATAGCTCTGTGTCACCTTGGTCCACAGTCTGGCTGCTCCTAGACCCGCAGATGATAATGTGCCATGGCCAGGGGACGCAACTTAGAACTCTGAATTTCACCGAAGTTATGAACTATGTGGTTGAAAACTGCCTGTTCACCAAGGTAATATTAAGCCAGAAGCTCAGGAAAGTAGATGTTAAAAACACAACATTCCCTGGATTTTTGTGTAGCAACAGAATTAAGTGCAAAGCAGTTGCTCCCAGAGAGTGTTTATGAGTAGATTTCACACAATTAAAGGAGCATAGTGATCACAGCACTAAAAGATGAATATGTTCTGTCCCCAGATAAAGAAAACAACTAACAGCACATAGCCAAGAAGTGACTCAGCTGAGACTTGAACTCAAGGTTGCTTAGTTCAGGAGGGCATGCTCTGTCTAGACCCCCATATACAGCAAAGTGTACACATCTCAGTGGGACTGCCATGCTATACCACCTTCGCGTCTCTGCTGCACTTATGCATTCTTGGGTGACGTTCTTAAATAACTTCTGTTTTCTCCCTGCACCCTCTCGTCATCTGAGACTGCAGTTCTCACTCCATGGTTTTTCTCATATCTCCTTTAACAAGAGTGCCAATCAAGGAAGGATCTATGAAAATACAGAGAGGAATTAATAAAGTATTGATATGATCTTATGTCTCATCTTATTCTGGTCCAAAACTGTACTCTCTGGAAAGGGAAATACATTTAGTCATTTAATATCTGTAGTGTACAATAAAAGGAAGGAACCCAACCTTTGCAAGGTGTGGCCAAAGCTTCCCAAGGCATGCAATGGATATGAAAGTTGGATTGTCAACACTCCAGTCACAGGACAGGAGAGCCCTGGACTTGTTTACCATCACTCAGCACTTAGGTACCCCTCAGTTAGTGTGTGAAGCCCACCTTCTGACCCTAGGTGATGATTACTAACACGCTCCCTCTGCCAATGAGGAAAGAGAAGTCACAGGTCAAATCCACTGGATCTGTCCTCTGCCCACCCGTGCACTTTTCACAATGCCGGGCCATCTTCTCTAGGTGTAAATGTGTAAGTCCATCATTGCCAGTGACCTATAAGGTGTTTGGGGAGACAGCTGGCTTATTTCTTATTGCCTGCAAGCAGATTTCCACTGCTCCAGTAACTTTCAAAATGTTAAGTCCTTTAATCCTCATCATAATACTTTGAGGAAAAACTGCTTTCTGGAAAGCAGAAGGTCAGGTCAGGGTCAGGGGCCTTAGTCTTCATTGAGATCTCCCCCAGGTAGTGAAGTTTTGAAGTTCTGGATTGATGTATAAATAATTTGCCTGAGCACTAAAAATATGAACATGAAAGCATGGCAATAAATTTGAAAGGACCCTGAGCCCTAGAAGGATCACTTCATTCTCAGAAAATGCTACAGGAACACCAACCTGTGTAAGAAAATTATAAAGCTGAAAGGCCAGAACTCTGACTGGGCTTGCTAGAAAGAAGCTGAGAAGGACTGCTTCACCGGGAGATTTCAATAAGTTTCCTTTCTTTCTTGCACCGTCAAACACGAGGGAGAAGCCAGTGAAAGGGTCCCCACCGCTGCTGTGGTTGCCCTTTGCTTTGCTGTCCCCTCTGTGAACTTGGCGGTATGCTATCTTGTTCCATCTTCATTGTGCTTTCCTGTTTCTTTTGCAATATGTTGGTGGGTGCTGCTGTTATTCACAGAAATGAGTGACTCTCGGATTATATTCCTCATGTATAATAATGTTAAAAGGAAGGGTTGTTCTATAAGGGTTCATGGTTTTGATTAAAGAGAGAATAATACTGCATTTCATGGAATTTAGATAGGTAACTTACGGTCTTGAATTGACACATGATAGCAAAGCCACCCTCTGAGAAAGACCACACTGTCACATACAGTTTGCACTGTTCTGATCTAGTCTAGTAGCGTTTCTTGCTAAGTGTACAAGTTCATCCACTGCCAATGACAATGGTGAGATATTTTGGGAGATAACAATTAGTTTGAATTATTTTCTTAAGTCTTTCATGAGAACCACGTTTACTGAGGGAAGGGATGATAGTGATTTCCCCACTGGGGAGATTTCCTGCCTCTGCTCCGATGGCCAGTTTTACTCATATATAGGCTCATACAGTCTAGACAAAGAGAAGGGTCTTTGAACAAAGACTTTGCAACCCTTAACCCAATTAGGTGCAGATCCCAGTGGAGGACAGCAGGCTCTCTGAGCAAACACCACGTTTGTCCAGTTCTCCAGTCTCCACCCTGTTAAGAACCCATGTCTATGCTCCTCTTAAGACTTTGCCAGCTTTTTCTGTCCCTTCTGTAGCCCAATGCACGGACTTATAATGCACGTTGTTTAAACTGACGCCATAAGTAGTGAAAAGACCCTGGCTCAAACCACTTAAACAACGTGACAAACAGCTGTGCGTTCATTCCTCCATATGTGATCAAGCTGGCCAATGTAAGGGGGAAAATTGGTAAATAACACATTATAGTTTCACAATATGCACATACAGCCTATGTCTCAGATACAGGGAAAATCAAGAAAACCAGAAGAGGAAACAAAGTGTTTAGATTTTAAACATCAGGAGGGAAAATTGAAATAAATTCATTACATCAGCTTATCCTAGTTTAAGAACCAGAAATATATTCCTGAGAAGCTGCCATCCTTTCCTTTCAATTTATTACATTGATTAACATCCCAAACCATTAATTCCTTCTGTGTTTTGCTTCCTTCCTTTCTTCATGCTGTCACACAGCACTCTGGGGATGTGACACTGTCCATTTTGAAAATCACTAGATTCCATGAGATTTGGAAAGTATGAAAAAAATTAACTCTTTCAACTGCATTTGTTTAAGAGATAAAGGGACATCCAGGGTAGGCTGTGCATTAATGGGTTTTAAATAGTGATAATCTTTATGATTCAATAAAATATTAAGTTTTCACATGAAACCAGCAGCCAAGGCTATTTTAAATGTAAATGTAAGTAATTGAATCCATCCAGAATGTTGAGAAGGATTATTCCTTGCCACTATTTCTCATATCCTGCACAAATATTTAGTAGTAAAATATCATACTTTACTCTATCAAAAGGTCATGGTTATCATAAAATACTGATTGTGCACATTGCCCCTGCAGCTGGGAGAACTATCTCGAGAATGACCTGATCCTGTAGGATGAAATGGAATCAGCTGTTACAATTAGCCTTGAGAAATGATTGATAACTCAAGTTCACCCGCAGGGCACAAGCCATGGGCCTGTGAGCCCACAGACTCATGAGATGTCCACCTGGGTTGTTTACATCCCAAAGATGATCTTGATTTTAACATTGTTTTCCTGGCTGCAAGCAAGTCAATGATTAAAATCAATGTACCATGTATGTTGAAAAAAAAGAAAAACAACAATTGTTTTATGTGACTCCGGCACTTCAGGGTCCCTTCACAAAGAGCATAATTGTTCTTATTTTATCTTCGTAGCAATTCTGTGCCATCATTTTCCCTCATTCCAGACATACTATAGATGCAAAGAGAACTTCGGGTCTCAGCTTATCATTATAAATATAAGGCATTATTCTCTTCTAACTCTATTTTGCAAGTAGTGCCCTTTAGACATGAATACAGAGCTTGAATAAGTTTTCTCTTGAAGATAGGAAACATATTTGGGGAAATTAAAATTTGTGTGGTATTTGCCAGTAAAGATCCCAAATGCCTAAATTATTTTACCTATGATCTCTTTTTGGGTTGTTTTATGGAAGCAATCAGCGTCCTGTGGAACTTTGAAAAAGACACATTGCAAATCTAGCCTACGCCACGTCCACTCGAGAAATTGTTAAGTATGCATTTGGTGTTCTCAAACCATAGGCATGCCTCAGAGAAAAATAAGAGAACAAAGGGAAATAGGACAATTTTAGTGAGACCATTGTACAAAGAGCATTTTCAAGTTCAAGACTTTTCTCTGCTCCTGGGATGTCTCCACTGTCCCTCCCTTCCTACCCTACTTCCATTCCTTTCCATGAGACTGTGAACAAGAATGTGTTTAGTATAGTAGATGTTATCTCAAAATATCATTTTGCAATACTTTCAGGTCTCATGTCCAAGCTCTTTGATGTGAGTTATTTAAATTTAAGAACAATGGTAGAAGATGAAAGACTAAAAACGCCCTCTTGTACTATTTCTCTGTTTGTAAAAAAAGTAATAACTTAATGTCATATGTGATAATATAGCAAGTCAGGGAACATAAACATATCCAGGGAAATCTTTCTTCTATTATTTTCCACCTAATGTAATTATCTAACAGGGAAAGGAACATTAAATAAAATCTGGTTTGAAATGAATCAAGCTTATTTGTGTCGGTTTTGCTATTCCTTCTTTTATGTTAAGTGTTCAGAAGACATTATAATGAATTAAGAACTGGAGTTACTGCAAGTTAGCACTAACCATCAGGACTCTGAGGATGTGTCCCTAGTTTTAGGCAAATCAAGGAGTCCAAAGGAAAGCACTTCAGAGGAGGAGGAACGGGACTTGAACTGGGTTAGATGGTGCCCTCGAACTAATTGTGCCACAGTACCTTTGGTACCTTGGTTCACCAACTTAATTTTTTCCACAGTTCTGTTTGCAAACCAAGTTAGATGAGAACCAAATCAAATTCAATGATTAGGTTCAATGTTGATCTTATGGGGAAATTTGATTCAGTTCTTGTCCAGTTCAGTTTTCAACCTTTATCTAGAGGCACTACTGTGTTTTGTGAAGTGTATGCTTTGGATCTCTCTTTTGCAGGAATACAAGGCCTGATGAGCTATATGAACCGAGGGTATTTCTCACACATGTTCTCTTTTGAATACATTGGAACCTTATGTACTGGTCTTCTTTCTACCAGCAAGTAGTAAATGCCATATGAGTCGAGACTCATACACTCCATGCCCACAGGATTTCAGTGGAGAAACAGGGAGGTTGAGGGAGAGAAATATAGATTCTGTATCCTTGAGACTTAGAAATACAGTTAAAGAACGCTGTTGTTGCCATGTGTAGTAGCAATGGAAGTCACAGTCAGTGTGCCTAGCCAGGATATGCATGTGCTCACACACACACACACAATATTTATGTGCATTTATATATAATTTCTATTTAAATATATATATTTCTATATTTCCATCTTTTATACTGTATTCACATATGTAAACTTGCTGAAGCTCCGAGTCACTATTTAATATACTTTTCTCTATTTCATGAGGGCTTATAGAAGTTCACAAAATTAAATGGTTTCAAACTCTAGAATAAACATCAGTGGAGCACCCTGACAGAAAGTCAAGACTGTAGAGTCAAGTGGTCTGCTTGTGATCCTGACTAAAATCCCACGTGACTTCTGGAAAGTTCCTTACGTTTTCTGAACCCCAGCTTCCTTATCTCTCAGGTGCCTATCATTTCATTTCTGCTGTTCTGCAGGTGCTGTGAAAAGGAAATGATAACTACCATGAGATCCAAACTTTGTGCTATGCCTTGAGCAGGGCAAGCACGTGGCGAGCACCATGGCACACGGGGCAAAAACCCTCGCACTCCAGGCTGAGCGTGTGCGGTGGTGAGCTAAGGAGATATAAGGAACAGGCAAAAGCTTCATACAAACAGTGCCGAGCATTACAATACGGTAAGAGCAGAGGGGAAAACCAGGGGGTGCTTCAAGTGAGTCCAAGCAAAGAACCATCCGACCTTTATTAAAGAACCTCTTCCCTGGCACACATGTACCTGTCCCACAGGCAAGCCAAGCACTTACTCCTGCTCCTTGTCCACCTCTGCAGCTGGCCGCTTTGCACTGGGCTGCTTTTGGACCAGTCCAGTTTCCCCGTGCAACTTCTCTGCTGGTTCTTCTGTCTATAGGAGGAATGGGAACTGGGCACACGCTAGTGTAAGATGCATCAACAGTGAGCCCTGATGAGCAATGGGGCGAGACTGGCTTCCGATTCTAATGCCACTTCCAACTGCTGTTCATCATGCCAGGCTGCCAAGCTGTGCTGAAGTGGTCTAGGGAACAGATGCAAAGCAAAAGGCTCATCAGAAGAAGGGCAGATTATCAGCACTGCTCACTGCAAGTCCTGCCTGTGGCAACAAAAGGAAACAGGTCTGAGTGGGCTTGCCACTGTGCGCTACTTCTTTAAAACCTCTGCTCCTAGGGTGAGAAACACACATTCTGCCACTCTGTCCTTACATTACGTAGCGTACATTATACCATGCAAAATAACATGCAGAACACAGCGCCTATCTCTGTTAAAAATATTTGCACGGATTATACACAAAATAAACACATTGGCAAATGTCAAGAAACAAAAAGATTGTCCAGAATTTTGACCTGAACTAGCTTTCAAATTGGGATCAAAACTGGGTGTTAAAATACAGGTTTCAATTTTGTTCTTCCATTCCACAAAGTCAGAAGAAAACTGTGAGTTAGAGGTGCTATTTTCTGCCTGCCCTACCTACTGTCCTAATAAAGCAAGCATCAATATATATGATGTCTTTGCTCTGTGTGATGATGGGGCTATGAAAGAACCATTAATAAACTTCAACAGCCTAGTGGTGATGAGGCCTCAGCTTTCAGTCTTGTCTGAAACATCTTCCTTTGGTGACTCAACTCTGTGATGGGTTTTTCACAGATATGTAAGTAGGACAGTTTTGGATTAACACAGGCATATTGTGTGATGCTCAGAAATTTCACCAGCAGAGTTCTACAGTGTAGTTCAGGATATAATCTAAGCTCTCAAACATTGTAGGTTAGGTTGACAATCCACATACTTTTCCCACATTCACTAGAAATTATCAGCATCATTAAGCTCTGTTGCCAGTGGAATGAAATTTTTGAACTCACCACAGGAGAGAAATTGTAGTCACATGTCTGAAATGAGCCAGAGAGTTAAATATGCTGAAAGAAAATTATGCAAACCCTGTATCTCTGAGGTCTACCTGTAAGATTCTTTCAGAAGTATTTGCTAGATCAGTTTAATAGACAATCATAGAATGGTTATGTATGACTACTGTTTACACTAATTCAAAAATATAAAGAAGCTGTGAAGTAGCTTCTGCTCTTCCCACTTCACAGATGAGGAAACTTAGGTGCAGTTTAAATACCTTGTCCAAAATCCCGCAGTAGAGCTAGAATCTTATAGTCCCTCTGTCTCTCTGCCTTTCTCTCTCCTTCTCCAGCTCTCATAAAAACTGAGGTATGTTCTGTCAGCTTAGCATATAACAGCACATGGAAATTCTGTTCCCAACAATCCCTAGAAGGATTCCTTTATTTAATGTAAGGAAAATTATCTGGAAATTTATAAAACCATAACGATCTTGTAGAGAAATATGTAAGGAGGGGATAACAGAAATATGAATGTCCATTTCCACATGAACATGTTAACACATGTTCATAAATTTTAGAGCAGCTTATATGATTTAAATACAAGACTCAATGAGGACTGCTGGATTATGTTCCTTTGTATATTTTATGTTAGAGTTTTGATTTCATATGTATAGTCTTGAAACCTGGATATCCCAGGAAAAAAAATGCTCAAAACTATTTGAATGTGCAATCCACCTGCTGGTAAATGTTACATTCTTTCATCCAAGTGTTACATGTGGCAATAAAACTATCAGATGAGTGCCCTGTCTACCTGTCACGTCACTGTTCCCTAAATAAAGGAACACATGAGAAACCTCGCCGTACGATTCAGGCTCAGAGCGTCGCACCTCTGCCTGTGTACAGTATTTTCATTGGCAAAGGAATCAGCCTAGGGATGTAAAGGGGATAAAAACAAAACAAAACAAACAAGCAAGCAAGCAGACAGATACGCAGGCTCTGAGAAATAGATACCCGCGACGAGGCTGTCTCCCAGGGAATCGCCAGTCTCAGCCCCTTTCTGAGGAAATGAGGTCTTCACATTTCTGAGAGTTAGTTCCCGGTGCACACAATGAGCGCCGTGACGGATTAACTAGCTAAACACTGCGAGGTTGGAGAACGCAGGCTGTGCCTCCGCCTGGGCACCCCGCGCCGCCGAGTGGGGCGGCAGTGCCATCCGGGACGGGGTCGCTCCCGCCCGGCCCTCGGGCTCCCGGCAGAGGGGGCGCCGGGCGTGGCGGTC